GCTGCTGCTGCCTGTGGTGGGCCCAGGCTGGTGACAGACAGAGGGTGCTCCAAGGCAGCCTTCCCTCATGCTGCCTCTGACAGAGCAGCAGCATGGGTGGGGGGCACGTGGCACCACAGAGACCGTGCTGGAGGTAAATAGCTTTTAAACCATGGTACTCCCACATCTTGAATATTACATACAGATGTGGTTGCCTCATCTCAAAAAAGATACATTGGCATTGGAAAAGGCTCAGAGAGGGGAAACAAAAATTATTAGGGGTTTGGAATGGGTCCCATATGAAGAGAGATTAAAAAGACTGGGATTTTTCATTTTAGAAAAGAGGAGACTAAGGGTGGATATGATACAGGTCTATAAAATCATGTTTTGTATGGAAATAGTGAATAAGGAAAAATTGTTTACTTGTTCTCATAACTAGGGGCCACCAAATAAAATTAAAAGGTAGTAGGGTTTAAAACAAACAAAAGGAAGTTTTTCTTCATGCAGCGCACAATCAACTGGTGGGGGAAAACACCTCACTCCCCCGCTGTGCCTCTGCTTTTTAAATGTATTATAAGCCACCATGTTGCTTTTAATACATTTAAAAAGCAGAGGCATAGAGCCCAGTCCCCCTGCTATGTCTCTGGTACTCCTACCCTCTGTGAAGATGGTGCTGGGGAGAGTTGGCTTTTAAGCTGGCTCCCCCCAGCTCCTGTTTCCCCTCACCTTGTTGCCTTTCTCAACTGTTTGAGTTACTCCTGGGGTCAGTCTGTGCCAAAATAATAATAATAATAATAATTAAAAGTGGGCACTTTTTTTTTGTCAAAGAAGGACTACGTAGTCATGTTTAATTTATGGTAATTTATTTCACAATTCCTGTCTGTAACAATATAGATATAGTCAAAAATATCCCTAGGAGTAGAGAGTTAAATGGCTATGACAACCTAGTTCCTGTTTCTTTCCCCTCCCTCCCCTTTTTCTTTCCCTTCCAAAGAGGTACAAGGCTTTTGATACGGTCTCCCACAATATTCTTGCCAGCAAGTTAAGGGAATGCGGATTGGATAAATGGACGGTAAGATGGATAGAAAGATGGCTAGAAGGCCGGGCCCAGCGGGTAGTGATCAACGGTTCGATGTCAGGATGGCGGTCGGTTTCTAGTGGAGTGCCCCAAGGTTCGGTTCTAGGACCGGTTTTGTTCAATATCTTTATTAATGACCTGGATGAGGGGATAGATTGCACCCTCAGCAAGTTTGCAGATGACACTAAGCTAGGGGGAGAGGTAGATACGCTTAAGGGCAGAGATAGGGTCCAGAGTGACTTAGACAAATTGGAGGATTGGGCCACTAGAAATCTCATGAGATTCAACAAAGACAAGTGTAGAGTCCTGCACTTGGGACGGAAGAATCCCAAGCATAGTTACAGGCTGGGGACCAACCAGTTAAGTAGTAGTTCTGCAGAAAAGGACCTGGGGGTTACAGTGGATGAGAAGCTAGATATGAGTCAACAGTGTGCCCTTGTAGCCAAGAAAGCTAATGGCATATTAGGATGCATTAAGAGGAGCATTGCCAGCAGATCCAGAGATGTCATTATTCCCCTTTATTCGGCTTTGGTGAGGCCACATCTGGAGTACTGTGTCCAGTTCTGGGCCCCCCACTACAAAAAGGATGCGGACGCATTGGAGAGGGTCCAGCGGAGGGCAACCAAAATGATTAGGGGTCTGGAGCATATGACCTACGAGGAGAGGCTGAGGGACTTGGGTCTGTTTAGTCTGCAGAAGCGAAGAGTGAGGGGGGACTTGATAGCAGCCTTCAACTTCCTGAAGGGAGGTTCCAAAGAGGATGGAGAGAGGCTGTTCTCAGTAGTGACAGATGGCAGAACAAGGAGCAATGGTCTCAAGTTGTGGTGGGAGAGGTCCAGATTGGATATTAGGAAAAACTATTTTACTAGGAGGGTAGTGAAGCATTGGAATGGGTTACCTAGGGAAGTAGTGGAGTCTCCATCCCTAGAGGTGTTTAAGTCTCGGCTTGACAAAGCCCTGGCCGGGTTGATTTAGATGGGATTGGTCCTGCCTAGAGCGGAGGGCTGGACTTGACGACCTTCTGAGGTCTCTTCCAGTTCTGATTCTATGATAAGGGGATGGTTGGATGAAATAACATGATCTTGGTAACTAATTGACCATTCATTTCCAGTTGGAAATAGGTCAATGGAGGGATGATAGGAGTTGCTATAGGGAACTTTCTGGGTGTCTGGCTGGTGAGTCTTGCCCACATGCTCAGGGTTTAGCTGATCGCCATATTTGGGGTCAGGAAGGAATTTTCCTCCAGGGTAGATTGGCAGAGGCCCTGGAGGTTTTTCGCCTTCCTCTGTAGCATTGGGCACAGATCACAGCTGAAGGACTCTCTGCATGTTGGGGCCTTCAAAGTATTGGAAGGCTTCAATATCTGAGACATAGGTGAGAGGATTATTCTAAGAGGGGTGGGCGAGATTCTGTGGCCTGCACTGTGCAGGGGGTCAGACTAGATGATCATAATGGTCCCTTCTGACCTTAAAGTCTATGAGTCTATGAGGTAAGGGACTAGACCAGGGGTGGGCAATAATTTTTTGCCAAAATTTTTTTTGAAGTGACCCACACCGGAAGAGGTGGGGCCTCAAATGGATGGGGTGGGGTCAGCATGCTTACGGGGTTCACCACCCCCAGACCATAATTAGCTCAACTGGGGAGTGCCGGGTGGTGGGTTCAAGTCCCATCTCTGCCTCCACCCCATTCTTAAAATATCCAGGCAGCCAACACGGGGATAAGGCATCCTCTGAAGGTAGGGAGGCCACATGGTTTTTTGAGTCAACTAGGGGAAAGGGCATTTGCCTGGGGAGGGCAGCCAACACAAGTTGCCCCCAGGAATGGAGCTGGCTTCTGCATTAGGAAGGCAGGATGAGGGTCCCTCAGAAGGTCAGGAGATGAGGTCTGGGGGTGGGGAAGCCCCTTTGCTCCCCACCCCTTCCCACTAAGCACCCATTCCCCTGGTGGTTGGAGGAGACTTCCCGTGCTCCCCCATCCCCAGGCCAATCAGGGCCTGGGGGGCAGGGGAGCGTGTGAAGCCTTTTTTTAAATAAATTACAGCCAATGCCCTCCAGAGTTAAACCTGCCTTCAAATAGTGGAAAGACCCATGGAATGCTTATGCAGGGATTCCATTAATGCAGCTCCCTTCAGTATTGATATTGAGAGATGTAGGGGCTTGCCTGGCCAATTACAAGATTCAGGGCAAATGGTCTTTAACAGGATTAATGCTCCATATCAATCTCCTGGAAATCAGGGCATTCAGTAATTCTTGTACATATATCCTTCCATTAATTAAAGAAACACATACAAAAATCATGACAGCATAAACTTCTGAGATTACCCATCCCTATGTGCAGAAGTGATAACATTTTAGAATTGGTGCATTTACCACAACATTCACGTAGCAGGAGCACACGGGGCACAGGAATGTAACAGTGAACACTGCCACAAATTCTCCCAGGGATCATGAATAGGAAATGTGCTCAATTCTCTACAACATCTTCTGTCACTGATGGGAGGGACCCCTACCATAGATCTGTTTGGTATTTACAGCAACAAGAAATGCATCTGGTACAGCTCGAAAGCCAGACTAGAGAAAAATATCACTAGGGCATGCTTTCATTTTTCAAGAGCTCCTATGTGCCTTCCTTTTGTTTCCACCTATGGCAAAGATCCTTCTCAAAATGGAGAAAGTCATACTAAGAGACATCACGTAGTCAAGATAAATGTGGTACCGGTATTTGATCCAGCATCCAGCTCACCAATTGCTCTTCAGTTCTTTCCTCACTTCTCAGGAAAACAGGCATATCCATCATTGTAATTTACAGGTTCTTCTTCGGGGTAGTCCCCGTGGGTGCTCCACGTCTGGTGTCGGGCTGGTCCCGGCACCATGAATCGGAGCTTGCCAGAGCTGTATTCGGCCGGACCGTGCATGCTCGAGCCGGTTTCGCGCCTTTCATGTGCCGCACGCGGAATCTGCCTCTGGTCACGGACGGAGCTCCTTTCATCTCCTTAGGTTTCCTGAGTGAAAGTTCAAGTCAGATATTTACTTCATTACCCTTTCGGTTCATTAAGTTGCTTTTTAATTGCAGATGGTTATAACTTACAGTTATCTGCTGTTCATACGTGAGCTAAAGGTTTCAGCTGTTCTTGCCGTGCAACCCTCAGTGTCACAGCTCCAAAAAAAAGAACGAAAAAAAAAAGAACGAGACAGTATAATGATAAAAAAAAACACTTACTGTTTGTATATAGTACCTTGTTTCATTCTAAGTGCTGTTTGTTGTTACAACCCCGAGTTCATTAACTTCTCAAAAAAAAAAAAAAGAAGAAGAAGAAAGAAAGGGGAGAAGGGTTATGTTGTTACCCTATCAGCTACGCCTGAGCTAAGCTCAGTAGTCAGTGGTCCCTTCATTTAAAAAAAAATAACTAAAATAGTTATATATAGCAGTCCACAAACGAGAGAGAAAGGGGCTAAAGGAGAACGGAGAAACAAGCGCAGACTCCTCTCAGTCAGCCAACATGCCGGGCTCCCCCGGTTTTAAAAAATGTACTATGTGCAGGGACTCAATGCCTGTCTCTGATGAACACTCTGCTTGTGTCCATTGCCTTAGGGAGGCTCATATTCCCCAGAAATGCAGCCACTGTGCAAACTGACAACGAGAGCCCACAAGGAGCGGGAAAGACGGCTTAAAGAGATCCTTTTTGACAAGGCTCTCCTACCTCCCAGTGCTCCAGGCTCCTCAGCATCGGACCCAACCACAGGAAAGCGGAGGGCTCCCTCCCCAGCTATGGCTTCCCCCAAGAGGAAGAAAACCTTTCCTACTTGTTCCCTGCAAATTGCCCTGCAGTTGCGGGTGGGTGCAGGTGAGAAGCTGAGCAGCTCAACTTCAAAGACAGCATGGGGGGCCACTTCAAAGAAACAAGCCGGTACTTCCCTGCCCCCGCTGCCTTCAGCACCGCAGACTAACATAGTATAAACATAGTATAAAACCAATGACTTATCACACTTGCATTCAGAAGTAAAAAAGATTCCACATCTGATATACTTTGAAACAAATAACCCTGACATCATCTTCTCTCCCATTAATACTAGATTTCATCCTACCTCTCATAAAGACAGAAGTATTTATCAGCTTGCTAAAGGTGATGTTTATCGCATAACTGTCTTTTTACAGCAGATAGATGGATAGTCACACCCAACAATGAAGAGATTCCTCAAAAGTATGAGTAATCTCTACCCACAAATGAGACCTGGCTCCTTAATTTAGTCCTCCGGAGCCCAAAAAGGCCACCTTTTAAACTCATGGTCACATACTCCCTTGTGCATACTTCCATGAAGGCAACTTTCACCTCAGTGCAAAGAATAGGGAAAATAGTACCTCTAATGGCATACCCGCCACTGTTGCCTCCCTGCAACAACATAGTGACTATACTATATGCAGTAGATGTCAGGAGAGCCTTGGCATTGTACTTGGAAAGGGAAGAGGCATTTAGATAATCCCTTAAATCAGGACTGGGCAATAATTTTTTGTGGGGAGGCCACTCCAAGATCTTGGAAAGTAATCAAGGGCTGCACTTTTTTGTGGAGGAAGTATAGGGTCTAGGATGATGCAGAAAGGCTCATGGGGTAAAGGACTGGGGTGCAGAAGAGGGTGTAAGGTTTGAGAGAGTGTTTGGGTGAAGGAGGGGGTGGTAACCTGAGTCAGGGAAGAGATTGGGATGTAGGTTCAGGGGATATGGGTGCAGAGGAGGATTCTGGCCTGGAGCAGAAGTGTTGAAGAGGGTGCAGAGTCTGGTAGGGAGTTGTGACCTGGAGCACGGGGGTGCAGAGTGTTTGGATGGTGATCTGGGGGAGGGAGTTTGGGTGCAAGAGGGGCAGGGTTGCGAGAGGCAGGCTTTGGCTGGGAAGTACTTACTTGGCCAGCCCCAGACCGCTTAAAACTGCAGGCTGTTCCTTCCTTGTGGCTCTCAAAAAAAGCTCCGGGAGGGGAAGAGGCTTGTGCTGCCTCCATCCCACAGCACAGTCTTTCAACTTTCAGCCAGTAGGAGCTGAGAGACTGGCTGGGGTCAGTTCCTATTGGCCAGTTGTTTCCAGCCAATACGAGCTGAGGATTAGGCTTGGGGATGATGAGATCACAGAAAGCCTTCCCCTCCCTCCAGAGCAGAGAGGCACAGGGAGCAGTCCTCCACTTAAAACAGTGGCTGCTGTGTGCTTGAAGGTCCTGGCAGTGTGCCTGCAGGCTGGATCCTGCTGGCAAGAGGTATGTTGCCCACCCCTGCCTTATGTTGTTCTCTCCATTACAGACAGATCCAGTGATTCTACAGTATCATTTCAAAGACTCTCAAACTGGGTTTCAAACTGCATTAACCAGTGCTATTGAGCCTGTAATCTGTAATCTCCATCTGGTACACAAACACTTCATGCGTTCATGCGCGTTTGCTGAAAGCAGAGAAATGATGAGGATTAGGAATCTTGGATCCATGCCAGGCTCTGAAGAAGAGATCTAGCAATCTTACTCTTGTGCTTGCCTCTCCCAACCTTGACTCCTGGTTTATTCTTGTCAAACCTGTTTCTCCTTGCCCCCTGACTTCATGTCTTAAATGATCAATCTTACTCTCTCCAGATTCCCTGTCTCCTTCCTGATCTCCAAATACATCTTCTTATTCAGCCAGTTGCAGTCTGAGTGATCTTATTTTCCCCAGCCCATACTCCTGTGTATCCCTCTTCCCTCCTAGCTCCCCCCGGGGTCCTAGCTTCCCTCTCTTAAACTTCCTAGGCTCTTTGTCCCATTCTGTTCCCTTGATCAGTCAATTGGTTAGCTTCCTCCTCAATGTTGCCTGGGTCCAGCATGGTGGAATTGAGACCAGGGGCAAAGACAGTCTCCGAGTTCCAAGTTTTGTTGTCTGGACTCAGAACCAATATAAGTTGCAGCCACTCAGAGAAGCATTTAAAGAGAAAGTCCTGCTCAGCTCTAGGTTTGAATGTGTCTAGTGTGGACAGAATCTCTTCTCTGATTTTAGCTGTTTTTCAGACTCAGGTTGTCTAAATTTGAGCACATATGAATCCTTAATTTTTCAGATTTAAAATTTCTAAATTTCAGGTCCTAGCTTCAGAGTCTGAAATTGCTACAGCAGTTCAAAGAAAAGATCTAAATAATTGTATATGATCAAAGCAAACATATTTTCCCTAATCTCATTCTTGGAAGCAACTGAAACATTTAATGTTTCCAATAAATAGCATGAGGAAAAATCTAGGATGTGAAACTTCAGTCTGAGTGGTTGAAGTTTGACAAAGTTATAAGCAACAGAAAAGAGGTCTTGTTCTGGAAAGTATTAGACAACCTTAATGGATTGTTACCAGCGCAGCCTATAATGTATATATAATTTGCCTTCTTTCTCTCACTTTTCTGTTATGCTTACCATGCTGTAATTCTATAAACGCAAATGTTTTTAAAATATGGTAAATTGATTTGAAGGCAAACTTTTGTAATTTGTGTGAAGGGATTGGATTTGAGTACAATTTCTGGCTTGATTTTTTTTTTTTCAATTTACAGGTATGATTTTTTTATTGTGAGTCAGTCTGTGAGAAATGGCAGTGTTTCACCAACCCACTACAATGTAATCTATGACAACAGTGCATTGAAACCTGATCATATGCAACGTTTAACTTACAAGCTATGCCACATGTATTATAACTGGCCAGTAAGTATCTGCTTTTGCCACGTAAAACAAAAATCTTTCTGCCTTTTTCCTCATTCAAAGGTGAGATTCTGAGTATATCATGTTCGTAGCCCTTATTGTGAAGTTAAGGCTGCAAATGTGGGGAGAGGAGACTATGAATAAAAAACTAGGAATTTATGCACCCACAAAGATTTAAAGTGATTTAAGCTTCTATGCTCAGCTTCTGCCTGTAGTGTAAACAGTCCTTACTGTGTGTACATGATCACATAGTGTCTCATTGGAAAATTATTCAGTTTATTTTATATTCTGTGCCATGTAGAACTTAAATATTACAGAATTATTCTTCTAAAAATAGAATGTAGACTTTTTGGGGGTATGGGAGGGATACTGGAAAGGGATAGTAGCGCATTCTCATCTCCTTCTGAGATTGCCTTAGAACCTCTTTCACATATTTGGCTGGTTGGTTGGTGCGAGAACGGTCTTCTGAAAACTTAGAGCTGTAGGCACAGTATTCATAAATATCACACTTTATCTTCCATGACATGTTTAAATACCGGTACAGAACCTAGTTATACCTTTATCTCATGCTGTGTGCACTACGGATGTACAATTCCATTTAATCAGCTAATCAGTTAAATATTATGTGTAACTGCTTAATCACTTAAACAGAGGTGGGCAGTGGGGCTGCTTCAGACCATCTAGTCTGGAGTGACTACTCCCACACACACTCACGATGGTTGGGCTGGAGTTGCCCCTGCCTGCAGTACACTGCTTTGACTGGGCTCAAGTTTCTGGCAAGTTTCTGGCAGGTGGCAACTCTGGCCCTAGCCTGTTAACCATAACCACTAACAATAACCCGGTAATGTAACTGGTTAACCATTCATATACGTAGTGTGCACCTGTTTCCTTTTTCTTATTGTGACTTTTGAAAAACAACCAGAAACTTAGTGAAAGAAAAACCTAATTCATGTAAGGTTGTACAGTTAAAACCAAGCTTGGGAACTGCAGACATTAACGTTCATATGTTGGTGCAAATTCAATCATAGCATAGTAGTTTTCTTTTGTTAACTTGCACTTTATGATTCAGTTCATACTCTGATAAGTGAGTTATGGTTCACTTCAGATTTCTGATTTCAGATGGCATTTTGCTTCTCAGCTTTAAATCTCCAAGCTGTTTTTTAAAAAAACAAACAAAAAAACCCTCATGTTAGACATATTGCTCCTAAATGGGATCTACCTTCTCTGTTCCATAGTCTAAACTCTTAATGAAAAATTTCACTACAACTTTTTGCAGTGAAAATAGCAGTGAGCTTTCTTTTATCTCCAAACAGCTCCTGAATCTGAACCTGATGGAGAACAGTGTCCATTTCTAAAACCCTAAGGGTTTATGACAATGAATTGTTTTCCAGTGGCTGAAGCTCTGCACTGTACAAACTTGATATTAGATAGGCAAGACTCATCTCTGCAAGTGAAGTTCCACTTTACCCCACGAGTGTATCCATTGTCTGGGCCATTAAATCTGGTGTCCTAACAGGAGAAACCTAGAAGGCAGCTGTGGCAAAATTCTGGCCATGCCCTGTGGGTCTCGCACTACTGGCAGATAATATTAGCCTCAGAGACTCACTGTGATCCTGTACACAGTCCCTTTCTCTTTAGAGGAAGCGAGTCCACAGTTTAGAGAACCATGCTCATCACTACTCCAGGTTCCGGTCCAGGGCCCCTAAAGTATCAGCATCAGTCAATGTTGCTTTTCCTTCTGACTTGACAGCTTTTTCCGTGGGCCACTTTCCCAAACAACCTCTCCAAAATGTCTCCTTCTGGTGCCTGTTAACCAGCTCTTAGCTCACAGCATCCTCTTGTTCCTTCCTTTTCTCCTTCCAGTCCGTCACTCTGTCTTCACCCTCTCCTTACTTAGGGGTGACCTTTTTAAAGCAACTCTACTGGCAGTAATTGATTGCTGGTGTTGAGTGACTAATTTGAGGGAGCAATTTAGTTAATTACCCTGGTGTTTTCTTTCCTTCATTTTATTGCATCAGGCTCTAGTAGTTTACTGGAAAGAGAAAACTACTTATCCAGTGCTCTTGTATACTTGTTTTCCACCAGAGTGTGGCATGTTGCTGGCTTTGATTTGTCACACAATTTATATGAACCTTGCATGATTCTTTAGTCATCTGCTACCAGGTTGATATTAGGAATGTGAAAGTGAAACTGTGTACACGGTTAACCTGTGAGCCTGGGCTCATCATTTAACCTTCACAGTTAGACACATTCTCCTGGTATGCACAGCTCCCCATGTGCACCAGCTCCCACCTGTGTATCAACTAGCTTTTCCCCCTTTCCCACCACCTTGCTGCTACTTCTGTATCCGCTGGGAATTGATTGCGCCCCACCCCTCTGCTGAAATCTTCAGCAGTTACACATTCACATAACTGCATTTTAAACATCCCTAGTTGATACCAGTCACACAGAAAAAAACTGTGGTCTTAAAGCTATTTATTGAGTAAAACTGCTATCTCTTATGGGTCTGTTCACTGCTGTCAATTTGTGGAAACTTGTGCAGGATGGGCGATGGAATTACAAGGGAAGATTAAAGTTGCGTGGTAGTTCAGATGGCTAAAGATTTGTACCCCTCTTTTACCCTTCCATTTTCTTGTATTATAAGAATTTGTTGGTTTTAAAGCAAGCAAGGACTCTTGCATGAGATCTTAAGTAGCATGTAACTTTTCTTCCAACTGCAATAGAACTTTTCAATTCATTATGTTTAAAATATACAGAATGTAGAAGAATCTAGGAAAATTAAATGTATACAATTTCTGACTTGACTTCAACTGTACAACCGCCACATGGAATTAATGTGAAATGTACTTACGAAATATGTGTGGCATGTAATTTGAAACAACCACTTCTCTGGTATATAGACATTTATTTATATATTATACAAATAATTACAGCAAGGGAAACACAAATGTAATAAATACAGACTTTGAATTTCAAATTTTTGTTAGTGTTTAGCTTTTACTGAATGTGCTATTTATTAAATGGCTCCCTTCTTCTGTAGGGTATTATCAGAGTGCCTGCTCCTTGCCAGTATGCCCATAAATTGGCTTTTCTTGTGGGTCAGAGCATACACAGAGAACCGAATCTGTCACTCTCAGACCGTTTGTTCTACCTTTGAGCTACAGAAGAGGATACAATGAAGTTTGTGGAACTTTCTTTGGTACCAGTTTTTCATTTTTTTTTCTCACCAATGTTGTAGTTTTCTATAAAACATTTTTGCTGCAAAAATGGTAAATGTGCATATGGGGTAAATGCATAATTTTGCACATTTTTTTTTTTACAAGGAAAATACAATTATAGCATCAAAAATAATTTTGAGAAAGTTCATTACTAGGAAAAATGACAAACTATAGTTAATACCTTTATAGCCTACTTGCTTATTCAGAAACATCTTTAATGTGTGTGTGTGGCGGCGGGGGAGCTTTAAAGGCGGCCTACGAACATTAGTTTTTCTTGGTGAAATCTGTGCTTATGTCTTCTTATGATTTGAATACACTAAACATAAGTTGCAATAAGCTAAAACATAGTTCTTTGTCTCCTGTACTAAATGTTAAGTTCTTAAAAGCTAGGCATGGCTATCAACTGTACTGAAAAGGACAAGCTGTTGACCCTTGAATTTTGCATGCCAGTGTTCTCCAATACAAGTATATGCGTTGTGCCTAGTATTCTTAGTTATTAGGGCTCATTCTTGTGATGCTTCTTCCGGACACTGTAAGCATGATGTCAGTCACTATTGTAGTCATTCTCATTTTCATGTTTGGATTCACCAAATAAATTAAAATATTTGAAAATGCCTACACTATTTTCTTGTCAGTCTTAGCATCAGGAAAACAGGCTTAACTAGTTACACAAAATCTTCAGCAGTGCCCCAGTGCATCATGAAAACAAAATAATGTCATTGGTTAGGCAGACAAAAAAGTTAGAAATAAAAAATAGATATTTGAAATGGACTGCATTGCATGACCTTCTATAGGAGCAGGACTGGTTCTCACTTGTTGGACCAGTCTACTTTTCAGTCTCATTTATGAGGCTTCCACCTGTTCCCTTGGAGAGACTATTAAACAGATGAGGTGAGTGTTCTCCATCTGCATAGAAAGAAATATCCATGAAGTTGTAAAATGCCTTCAGCATGTATAGAATATTCAGCCCAATTATCTCTTTCTTGATTTCCTCTCATTACTCCTGGTTACTCCTTTGTGATCTGAAATAACTTCTACAGTAGTTTCATTTTTTTATGCTCATTTACGATCACTCAGTGTTTTATATTTCAGTTTCTGTGCTGTGGAATGTGTCATATGTAAGAATGTGGAAATATGTAAACTAGAAGGTGTTTCAAGTATTTCCATAACTAAGTCCATACATTTAAACTAAGTTGTGTAAATTCGGACATAAGAAGTTAAAATACTGTAGCTTAGAACCACAAGTATCCTTTTGTTCTTGCAGGTATTTTTCCTGCATCACTGAGATTTTTCATGATGAGCTTGTCTAGATGTCTTTTTGGATTAGATTGTTTTATTAGAAGGGTATGTTTGTTTAAATATATGCTCATTGTACTAATTAGAACTAACTTAAATTGTGAACGTTCTTCCTTTTGATAAATGTCAATAAAGTTCTTTGTTTAAAATATTGCATTTGTATGCTCATAAATACGTATGTATGTCTAAACAGAACAAGAAACTGCCCCATTGCATCTTCTAACATGAGTATAGCATCCATTTTTGCATATCCCCTTGAAAGCACGGTCCCTTGATTGGTTGCTTAAAATATGGTCGTTTTGGGAAATTGCCTAAATTAAAATGACACCATACCCATAAACTTTTGTACCGAGTCATACCTATGTCCTTTAGTAATAAAGCAAGTTTTTACTGCAAGCCTTTTGGTACCTATATTAATAAATTGGTATAGTCTAGTCTTCATTTGTGTATTAATCAAAGTAGAATTTACAGGTCTGGGACAGGAATGAAACAGGGTGTTGGATAAAATACGTAGACTGGGCTAACGCCGTTTGCTATATTGAATATATGTGATCTAGAAATAACTTTTAAAATATTAGAAGCTCCAAAGTGCCAAGTTTTACCATTGCTTTTGGAGTAGAATTTTGTTTGAGATAAAAATTTCGTTGTATATACTGCAAGAAGTAATGGTTGACTAGAAAATGGCACATTATCTGTATGTACCATTTGGGATTAGAATACTTTATTATCAAACTTCATTCTTCCAGTAACTGTTAAGGTTGAGTAGATATAATTTAAGAGTAAAGTAATTAGACATTTTGTAATGCTTAATGTTTGAAATAGTTACAGGATCCCTATTAAGGCTTTTACTTGTAACTTTTAGGTTGAAAGCATTTTTGGTTTGGAAACATCCTGGATCCTTTATTAAAAACTGAATGCATGAACACTAACATTTATCTTTGATTTGCTTGTTGATCTTTTTCTAGTATCATGAAGAATCAAAATTAAATCTTTAACTTTTGGTCAGATTCAGCATTTCATTATACTTTTAAGATATTGTGCGCGTACTTTACACGATGTGGTGCATTTTAACCAAAGTTTGGGTTATTCCATACACTATAGCTCCTGACATCCACAATTTCTTGCACACATGGAATAATTTCTCCCTTCCATTTCCCTGTACTCCCTTAAATACAAATATGCTGAATTTCTCCTGTAGTCAAGTTAATCCGTGGGATGGATAATGGAGTTATTGTTTTAGCTGTTGTTTCTCAGAAGTGAAAGTTTCTAATTCTGTAGAGGCTGATGAATATTCATTTAAAGAGAATTATATCTCAAACTGCCATTCTTTAACATGGCCATAGAGAACTTAAGGGTTACTTTGAGTGTGTTCTGTTAAAAGAGGTGAGATACATAAATAGAGTCTTTTCTACCTCTTCCACTCCCCCCGAAAAAATAATTAATCAGTTATTGTAGTGGAAGGAGGTGGAGAAATGCAAGGACATCTACAGTGTAGTTTTTCTTTATATGCTGCTGCCTTTCCCCATCCTTACAAACATAGTTACATCTAGAAAGCAGAAGAGGTCATGGAGAAGGGGCACATGGAGTCCATTTAGCTAATAATGGGTGGTAAAGAATCACAAATTGTGGAGATATACAAAAAGGAGTGGTGTTCTTAGCAACTTAGCATATTTTTTGATGAAGCGAGGCATTTGTCTTTCCATAGACTTACAATTATAGGGTAATTCTCCCATACATTTTGCAGTGGAAGCTGTTCTGACAATTGTTACAAACTGACAATTATGTTATATGGGAATTTGCTTTCCCAACAAATTCTGAGTAAGTTACAGCTTTTTACCGAGATTCAAACACTGATAAGAAATGGAGGATCAGGGAGAAATGTTCATCCTTGAAAAGTGTTAAGTCATAGAAATTGTGCATAACAACTGTTCTCTACCAGGATTTTTATAAAAATATGGATGGAAGTTTATAGAAACAAGAGCAGTTGTGTATGATACAGCTATATTGTCACAAACATAAATGTCAACTAACTGGTTTTTCTTTTTAAGTCATTTTTAGACAGTGAATTAGGGATAACTTAAATAGTTTGGGTTTTATTATGTATTTAGCACAGGGCATAAAACTACTCCATGCAGTTTCTTTGTGCTTAAACTCATTTTGCCCTAGTGCAGGGGTGGGCAATAATTTTTGAAGAGAGGCTACTTCACAAATTTTGGAAGTGGCTGTGGGCCATTCTGGAAGGGGCAGGGCCTTGTACTTCAAAGCAAAGTAGGAATAGAAAGTCCCAGCAACCTGAACCAAGCGGAACACTGATAAAAAGTCTATTTCTGGGGTTTTTAAATTGGAGGTTGTGACCCCTCAGGAGGTCACAAGGTTTCTCCATGAATAGTCAGGAGCTGGCAGTCTCCATTCCCAAGCCCAAGTATTAAATTAGTGTTAAATTTAAAATATTTGTTTTAATTTACAAAGGGGGTCACACACAGAATTTCTGTGTGAAAGGGGTCACCAGTACAAAATTTGGAAATCCACAGGTCTGTGGCTTCTGAGGCAAAGACGAGCAATAAGTTCTCTGGGGATTTTGAAGAATGTGGAGGACGAATGCTGAGCATGTGTATATGCTTGTTGGTGAGGAGGTTATTAGGACCAAATGCATCTCTGGTGCAACTTCAATAGAGTTGGTGGAGTTACACTCAGGATCAATTAGACCCAAGATCTACAAGATACTTGTACATATTTTTATGGCTCAATGGGGATAGGACAGGAGGCAATTCAAGCCTCTGAAATTTACATGATTTATGATCAAATCTTAAATACTGTTCCCCTCACATCCAAAACAGAGTATGAATATTAGTTTCCATGCAGAGCCCTTCCAACTACATGCTGACTTCTACTATCCTCTTCCTTCAGCAGACTGCTCCAGACCAACTTGACAATGCAATCTTCATCCATAAACTTCATTTCTATTAGTCACTGGCTACACTGAGCCATACATCTGAGAATCGGGAAGCAAACAAAACCCTAAAATGTATTTCCAATGAATGATGACGAAAAAGGGAACAAATAAAATCTGTAAAGGAAAACCAGCCCAAGCTGTTCATTTTGAGCAACAGCAAGTCCTAAATCAAGTGTTTCAGTCTATAAAAGCTAAAGGGGTAAGAGAGGAAAACACAAAGAAAAATTTGCCCTTTGTATCAACTGCTTCTATTTAATGGGCCCACACAGCTGCCTGGCAGGCATAAGCCCTTTAAATAGAAGCAGTTGAAAGGGCTTGTGCGTCCCTAGATCCTAGGCAATGCGTTAGGGGGTGGGGCCTAATGAAAGAGGTAGGTGGGCTGGATCCAGCCTACTGAAAGGCTTTTGTCCAGCCCTGTCTAGTGAATTATCTCCTGCTGGTTCTCTTCTAGATTGGTGGTCACTATAGGTTCTTTTTTGGAGCTTGACTTTTGTATGTTCAGGACCTTCTCTGATTAGAAGCAGCTAGTGAAAGAAGATTTTTTTAAATGAAAATTACTTTCTGCGTTTCTGTAGACTTGTCAAATACCTTTACAGGGTTGAGATACAGCTTGCAATTAACCAGTGTAATCTTTGTCATACTGTTTTTAAAAGGTAAGAGAAAGCTATCACAGTGATTATTTGAAGTAACAAACTTAACACTGTATTTTACAAAATATCAAATTTATTTATATAAAATATTTTACACATGAATAACTGTACACATGCACACGCCCACACAATACTTTACCACATGTTTAGGCCAGTAGTTTTCTTTAATTTCATAAATCTAGCACACAGTAGTATCTTACAGTAATTTACATTATAATTCTTTGAAGACACAATGGGGAAAGCTTTGATCATTCATTTATAAACCTTCCATAAATTACAAAAGAAAGGCAGTCTGAAAAGTATGTATAAACAGTAAAAACAATTTACAAATGGACAAGAATTACAAAATAGTAACTGCCAGTGTCTGCTAGCAAGATTATTTTAATTAAGCCAATATTAGATTGGTATTTTGAAACGGTTGTACTCTATTGGTAGAGCCTTTTAACTGGCTACAGCTTATGTGTATAACATACATCTCTTTCCATTGCTCAACCTATTATATGTGTTTTATCTTGATTCTAACATCAATAACATGAACAATGATTTTTAACTTAAAACTGCGTTTCCACAAGAGAGAACACTTGGGGAGCCTGCAAAGATGGTTATTTTCTGGCCATTTAGAAAACTGAAACTTTTACACTAGTGCCAGGAGCTATGAAACAAGATTTTTGACTTAGTAAAATAATATGTGCATCTCTGGTTAGTTTACATGGTACTTCATGTTAGCATACTGAACATTTGCTAAAGAACTTATACAAATGTTTAAAAATGCATCCTGCATAACATTTTCAGCCTCCCAACATAACATCAGACATTAAATGGGGTCAGCAACACATTACTTGATCTTAAATTACATGTCTGTGAGGTTGAAAAGACATTTAAATACACAATACATACAAAGTATACGCTGCATATTGAGACAGTACGAATCATTGTGTATTAATAAGGCAAAAACATCAAGGCTGAGTAAACTAGGAGTTTCAAGACCATTTTTTGTTTAAGGTCAACGTTCAGGTAGTTTGGGGTGAGCATTTTTAAAGAGGGCTCAAATAAGATTTTCTTGCTTCCCCAAAGTTAAAGGAGAATAAAGGCAGAGATTTATCCAATAGAGTTAGAGATGTAGAGGTGCCATGAAATAAAAAAAGATGATATCCTTCTATTCTTATTTTCCCCAAATCTTTTTAGAAGAAAAACAGATATTGACAACATTGCTCTTTAGTAGCAACAAATCCACTTCTTTTTTTTCTTCCCGTTTTGATCAAACAAGTCACATGATTCTCTGATGTCAGAAAGGGTTAAAAATGTGAAGGTTCTGTAAAGATGTACTTCATAGTCATGAAAGCCCTAGTTTGAAGTTTTAAATAAAACATAGCTTGGAAGCTTTACAAGTTGTCCAGAAGTAAATGAATCATTTCACTGCACCCAGCTTTTTCAGCAGTTTCTTGCCTTTGGAAAGCAGCCCCTTTTTCTTTTTCGAGGACATTTCCCTGCCTCTCCCGGGACTACCAGAACCCATAGATGACGTACCCATAGATGGCGTAGGTGACCCAGAATGGAGATGGACTGTGGGAGATGGTGCTCTCCTTGATGTACCTGTATTCTCAGGAGGAACCTATTAGGTATATTATTATAGTTTATTGAATGTTTGAAAGCACTCATCATCAAGAAAGTTGGCAACATAATTTTTGTCTTACTATCCATTAAACAAAAGGGCCAGTTCATTTCTTCTCTCAATTGTTTTAAGTATGCCATAAGGAAATACAGAAAATACATAAATACAGCTTCCCACAAATGAAACTGTGAGCCAAAGGTATAAACAGCAAGAAATACAGTGGGTTCTCAAGTCGGTTACATTTTTAATAGAGCTGGAGACTCTTATTTTGCCATCATTTTGGCAAAAAATTGTAAGTTTTGTATTTCAGCAATCTTAAGAATGCAGGAATGACAAGGGTCATTTGTAGCTAAGGAACTGTATTTATAAAATTAAAGTGGATTAAGTACCATAGATCCATTTGTATATAAACCAGTTTCCAAAAGGAATTACTGTATGTGCAAACTATATATGATTGTCACTTAAAATTTTTGATGTCCTTTGACCACTTTTTCTTAAAACAGGTTAGCGTACTGTATATACGTATTTGAGAAGATGGCACACTGGTTGAAAGAAAGAAAAAATAAAAGCTAAAATGAACCTTAATTGCAATCAAAGAAAGCTTAAAGACCCTGATTGCTTGGTGTCCTGCAGTTATATATTTGCCAGATGAAGATAAACACGTATTGTACAATTCTTAGAACATGACAGCATTCCTAAATATTTTTAAACAGCTATTTTAATAATAAAAAAGCACTTGAATGGAAATACTGTAACTATTTACACTCATCCCATTGTATCTGCTGTGCCCTACTGACAAAAAGTTTATGGTGTAAGATGATACTGTGTAGTATAAACCATGCTTCAGCAATCCTTATTATCTTTAATTCCAGTTAAGACAACAGAAATATATTAACAATTTGCTGTCTTATTGTGCAATAGCTTATTAAGCAAAGGGACTTCAAGCCTACTTTGATTTAAAATCAAGGTCTAATTCTAATGAAAAACAACTTGGTAAAGCACCCCAACGTACACCTGAAGATACTTAAGTGAGCTGCATGTTTCCTATTGACACTATTGCATTGGTAAACCAAGCCACAGCTAAAGTGTTTCATAAGTATTTGCACTGATGACAGTCCTATTCTGGTAAATTGTGGTTTATGAGGATGTGTGTGTGTATACAGTTTCACAACTGCTGAATGGATCTAGTCAATAGCAACCTGGGATGCAACTGATTGTGGGAGACGTTTTAAGGCCAACAGTTTAAGAAGATATTTGTGATCGTAATTCAGAGCTACATACCCTTGTAAATTTCTGTACAGCTCACTTGCTTATTTTAAGGGTGGAGTTTGTACTTTCCCCCAGTATTTAGGAATTATACGAGTTTATATATCTCAGGTTGGCAAGCAATGCAATATGCAGCTTTCATCTATAGCACAATTTACTGAACACTTCTTTTGATGTAATCAGAAACATTTAGCTCATGGAGAAATATGTTCCAAATGCTAACCTTCATAAAGTTAACCTTAATTAAATGGTGGGGGGTCCCTTAATAGCCATGTCAAAGGATTTATTTGTCTCATGCAAACACTGACTTACAAGTACATACAGTAAATGTCTGTATCTTGTTACTTTGGGGGCACTGATTTTGGAGACATATTTCTTTTTTTTCCACAGTTAAGTTTCAAGACTTGCATTAGATATTGTCAGATGGCTTTAATTGATATCTTTATTGGTATCTTCAGTTGCTCACTTACGTGAAGGCTACATTGCCTTATTAAGGTGTGAAATGAACACTCTTCTTCTGTTTCCAAGCAGATGAGCAAAAAATAAAAATATATATATAAAATATATAATATATAAAATTATTGTAGTGATGAAACAAAACAAAAATGAAATACTCTGTACATGAACAATCTATTTCATAATGTGCAAAATTTGGACAGTTAACTTTTTGTTAGGACAAAATAGTAAAATGGTTAAAATTATTGTTAATCAGCTATCTTTACATTCTATATTTCAGGAAGTGGTTGGCCTATTCTTTCCCCATTCCCATCTACTTTTCCTGTTTTAATGTAGGTTTTGTGTGTGTGTGTGTGTGTGTGTGTGTGTGTGTGTGTGTGTGTGTGTGTGTGTATAGTTCAAGTTTGAGGAACTAAGAACTTTCACTAGAAAAGGCTGATGAAGTTAAAATTTTATTTCATTCACCAGAATCTCTTAATTTAAAATGTAGGTCCATAATTATAAATGCTCATGATATACTAGTGTGAAAGATCAGTGCAATCTTTCCATATTTAAGAAAAATACCTAAAACAGGTAAGTAGATTTTAAAATGTCATAAATAAAATCCAAACTAAATGAGATGGTAAAATATAGAAAGATTGAAAAATTATTTTTTAGTGTAGTTGCTTACCCTTTTTGCTTTTGTACGCAGTGGTGTATCTTGAACATATCTTGATGGTGCATCGGAAAGATAGACTTCTACATCATCAGGCACTTCTTCAAGAAAGTTTGAAGGAACCAACCCCTTCTGTCCATTGAGTTCACCCTGCCATATGGCAAACAATTGCTTTTGAATGACTAAACATGCAGCATTCCTATGAGGTAGAGAACTATTTTTTGTGTGTGTTTTCTAGATGGAGAAACTAAAGGAAGTGATTTGCTTGACACCATAAAGAATATCTTACAGCTGGGCACAGAATTAGATTTTCTGGCTTGAGAGTGGTAAATTATCTGTAATGCAAATAGGGAGCTAAAGGAAGACAATAGATACAAAGTATTCTATAATTTTTGGTGAGGTTTAAGAGTCCAGTATATTAAAGGATTTTGTTCGGATTACCAATAGAAAAGCTATCTGTCTACTTCTTTGACCACATTAAAGTCACTGTGGATCTTAAAATTGACTTTTAGGCTTGGGGCAGAGAAGTCCATGCCCCTGCGTGCTATTCAGCTAAGACCTTTTAATATTTCCTTTGTGTTTGGTTGGGGGGGGGGTGGGCAGGTTGGCATTGCAAAGGGTTGTGCTTTTGAAAAGAGAGTGACTCTAAAATTACTCATTGGATAATCAGAATTTATGCACTAGGACTTGAATATCCCTCAGTATTTTATAGTGCCTGACAAGACCTAAGCAATTACTTGTATTAATACGCTAACTTGGCATGGGGTGAAATTAATATGGGGCATTAATCCAAGGCGCTCTCTAACATTTCTGCCATAAGAGGCAGATACACAACATAAAATAGGTGAAGCATCCTCTTAAAGGTGTTTGTACATCTCCTGTCTCTGCCATGCAGTATCATGGTAGACACAATGTGCTGTGTTTTATTTCAGATGGATCTCTGGGGTGCAAACTCTTTACAGCTGCTGGGAGGATCTCTGGCTCTAATTTCAGCAGACATGTATTATTCCAGCTGCGACCCTTAAGTCAGAGGGAAAAATTTTATAATCATTGTTGCTCTGCACTTTCCCTTCCAGAGAATCCTATTGCACAAGCTTTATATACGTAGGATGGATTTTTTTTCTGCAAAAACAACATGGAGTCTGGTGGTACCTTAAAAAAATTTAAAGACTAACACAGCTACCTCTCTGAATTCTGTTGTTAAACAAAGGTTACTGTCACAATCTGTTCCAATGTTGACTGGAGCTTGCAGCAAAAGTGTGGCTATCAACATTTGATTATAATAGCATTACTTTGTTCCCCGGTAGTTACAGTTTGATTAGCAAGTTGGACATATACATTCACAGTTCCAAGCTTCTTGCTTGCATTTCAGAATGCATTTATTTCAGCTCAAGTCACCTGCCAATAGGCAAATGTTCTTGTAACATGTAGGAATGTTTGTACATAACTTCAATCTTAAGTTGCAGGAACAGCAGCATGTACATTGTCACTTTATACCATAGTATTAAGAACTAGCACCATTAAGTGAAATGTTTAATAAACTTGCTGAAATCATAATCTAAACAAAATCCTCCGAGATCATATTTTAATAGATCATTCTACCAACAACTGGAGCACTCTGCTCAATGTAGTTTAAAAGACCAAATAAAAGCAAACTTACATAGTAAAATCCATCTTCATCTATTTCACCAAAGACTGTGAAAATGTCTCCTGTACAAAAGGTAAGCTCAGCCTGGGGAAAAAGGAAAGTGACTGGTCATGTTGTGATACTGTCCAAACATTAACATTTTCTGCTGCTGCACTGATGATATACAAGTTTAATAATTTTTTTTCTAGTCGTGTTACCCAAAAACTAAATAAACCTCATGTTAAATTAGGGACCAGAATATTCTTAAGAACAAACCAGAAATAAATAACCATGTACTGGGTATTTTCCTAACAAGCAATGAGTTTTAAATGCATGGGCTCAGCTCATCCTAATCTGTGTGGGAAGGAAGAGACTCCTGGTATGAAATCATAGCAAGGATCCTCTTGTGGGGTTGGGGGTGGGATATGACCTCCTCCTATGTGTTGTACTGGGATTCTGGTAATATAGCTGTATTGGAGCTGTGCTGTCAGTGACTTTTCCTGGCTGCAGCAGCCCCCCTACCCTCTGGGAGGTCTCTTCCATAGGGTTGGGTGTAAGACACTGCTTGACCCACCTTGTGTCTGCACAGATCTGGGCAAAAATAGCAACCATCTTGGAAAGGTGGGAGGAAGAGATGGGGGACAGTGCTGTTGAAACAGACAGATATGTGAATGAAGATCCATGGGAACAATCTGGGTTCTGTTTGTTTACAGTTTTGTCCACTTGTACAGAGACAATGCTACAATTTGGCTATGTCTACACTATGAACTTTTTGCGGAAGACACAATGCAAATGAAGTGCTCATTAGCATTTTCTCGTGCTTCATTTGCATAATCTCTTCCAATCCATTTTGCACAAAAACAAGCAGTGTGGACATGTCTGTTTTGAGCAAACCCCCCTTTTTGTGCAAGATCCTTATGCCTCTATTTTAAAGGCAAAACAGACAGTCCTGTCCACCCCGCCCCCATTTCCCTCCCATCCCCGAGAGTCCCACTACCTACCTCGAGTGAAAATGGAGGTAGTGTAGGCTTCCCGGGGATGGACAGAAGTACCGCAGCTTAGTGCCACTTCCGGCGATTCCGGAAGTAGCGCTAGCTGCTCTGCCGGGTGTACTGCGGGAGGGAGCATCGGCTCCCTGCACCGCACAGGAGGGGTGAGTTAGCCCTGAGGCAGGCACGCATGGGGTTTCCCTGTGCTGGGGGCGGTTGGCCCCGGGGTAGGCGCGTGCGGGGCTTCCCTGTGCCGGGTGTTGGTCCCCGGGCCAAGTGCGTGTGCGGGGTTTGCCTGTGCCGGGGGGTCGGCCCCAGGGCAGGCGCATGCACGGGGGGTGGGGGGGTACCCTGCGTGGAGTCAGCCCCGGGACTTCCCTGGGCAG